TCAAACAACCGATTTCCAAAAAATTTTTAGAAGATGGTTGAATATAATTGGGCTTTATATATATGGACCTCTGTGTCACATGAGCGTGAAAACTTCGCGTAGTCTTTTCAAAAATCTGATTTAAAAACAAATCGTAAAATTATTATTTATAAATAGATATGGATAAAGAAAACATTGTTACGTTGTTGACACCAAAAAAGATTGCTTCTATGAAACGAAACGAGCTCGAAATTATTTGCAAAAAAAAAAAAATCTTTAGTATTGAACATCCAACTCACTCAAATATGTCCATTAAACATAAATTATCATTTATATTATTATATATATAGAATTCTGTTTTACAAATAAATTTAGCAAAATATGCATTGAAGGAGTTGAGTGGTTGCGAAAACGATGATATATCAACAGACATAAAATATGATGTTTCCGACAACAATAACATCCATCACGAATCACAAATAGATACGATGTCAGATGACGGGTATTTTGATGAAATACGAAAAAGATTTTTACCAAGTCTGGTGAATATATTAAAACAATTCAATCATCAATCATTGTTATATATAATTTGACATTTGTTAATTGAAACTTACTTTATTAAATCAACTTAAGAAAGATCATGAAAAAGAACAACTTGATATAGACAGTTTGGAAATAGGCAAATATTATTATTATTTGCTATCATCGTTATCATCGTTGTCATCATTATATTAAAATTTCATTTATCATAATAATAATTTATTTAATATTCAAAAGAATCTCCAAAAGCCTAATAAAGTCCATAAAAAGAAGACTGGCCGTCGTCATGCTAAGAGTGCTAAGAAACAAAAATAAAGTCATGGAATTGAATTTATTCTCTGATGAAAATATTTATATTAAATTTTTAAAATAAAAAAATTAATTGTAATAAGCAGAGTATTTGAAGTGTTTTTAGAAAATGTTTTATAAATATTTTATATAAATAATATTATTTTTGAACTTTTGTTTTTTTTTTGCTATCACTATATATGGGGCATGCTGCAACAAAACCAGACAGACAAAGTGAACATTGGTATTACCAAATATTTCAGGGATCAAAATTTAGTCATTTTTAATGTGATCATAATTAATATCCCATTTGTTATCTTAAGTGATATATAGAACTATCCCTATATAAAATAATTAATATGAAGTTAATTTATATCAGATCTACTATGGAACCCAAGAATTATAGTACTATCAGAAGTATTTTGAAGAAAGAACAAGGCGAAAAAATAGCACCTTACATTTTCAAAATAAATGATACTCAGACACTGAAAGCTTATCTAAGAAAAGAAAAGATTACTTATGAAATTTACCAAGAAGAAAGAAAAATAATAAATGTTGGAAAAAGAAAGCAGCATGAAGATGCATTATTACCTAACAAAAAGCCAAAATCCTTAAAAGGAAAATAACTTGTTTTCTTTGATAGTTGGAATGAATTTCATTTATATTAGAGGAAAATACTTCCTCAATCCTCTTTAAAATTACTTTCTTATTTTCAATCAAGGTCATTTTTTGACTTCAATTTGAGCAGTTTGTTGGGTCTGCTGTTTTCTTAGTCATTCAACCTCAGTTTCAAGTCTTTGAACTTTATCTAATAATTCTTGCCTTTGCTTACTATGCCAATCTTTTGAAACTTCTAAGGCTTCCAAATGAGAACTGATTTCTTCCTTAGCACTGTATAGTTGCTGTTTTAAGTCTTTATTTTGCTGTTCTAATCTACCAACATAACTCTGTGCCATTATTTCTGTTATTGTTGGAGTTTTAACTGGTTCATCTTTCCTTAAATCACAGAAACAATCTATTCTGTTTCTCATAATTCGACCACAATCACTACAATATGATAGAGTATCATCATCAAGAGCTTTTTTACACTCTATACAGATATAAGCAATATCATTGTAATTATTACTACTTCTATTGTAAGATACTATTTTGTAAGTAGCAGTCAGACTTCTTTCTCTTTCAAAAGGGCAGAAGTTACAATTCCATTTATCCTCTCTCCTTAACTCGCTAACTTGGTATTCTAATTTCATACTATTTGTTCTTTTGTAAGATATAGGCATTAAATTTTTCTCTAGTTATTTCTTTTAATTGACTAGTTTTTTTCTTTAGTTTATTGGTTAGGAGTTTAAATTTATTTTCTTTCCTTGGTAAAACTGGCAGTTCTTGAAGTTGCTTGTCTGCTAAATATTTTTGTCATGCCACAACATTTTCTAATACAGTCGGCGCTCGATATAGTGAAGTTTTGGCTAGTACAAATTTAGAAACTATCTGCGTTAATATCCAATCAAATTCAATTTTTCAGAAGATAGTTTCCAAATTTGTACTAGCCAAAACTTCACTATATCGAGCGCCGACTGTATAATACCTTGGATGGTTGAACATCTGGATTTTGTTTAAAATGCTTTATCCAGGTATAAATTGATTCAGAGTTATTCCAGTTGGGACCCTCACCAACACCTGATTAATATAAAAAGAAGTTAAAAACAGTATACTCAAACAAATAAATAAATGAAATTGAATGAAATAAAAAATAATTTTTTGTATATTGGTGATTTGCCTATGAATCAGTGAATGATTGGCATTTTTTATAATAACTAATACTAACTAGAATATTTATGTATAACCCAACATTTACATTTGAGATATTTACCTTCAGCACTTTTTAATTTTTTTTTCAACCTTTCCACCTCCAACTCCAACTCTTTCACTTTTCTTTTCAAACCCTAAAAAGGATGATTGTTTGTGCAGAGAATAATTATATATAAAAATTATTTTATGTTGAATTAGTGTTTACAATGTTGAATACTAAAATAATATTTTATCAAAATAAATACCTCGTCATTTTCCTTATTTTCACTAATTAAAAAAAAAAGTTTATAATTAACTAGTGATATGACATGTGGCAATGATTGCAAATGACCACCAATCTTTATATATAAACTAGAGTGACAAGTGGTGGTGGGCAATAACCACCACCATCATTCTTAAAACACTTACTCAGTCAACGCCTCTCCATGATTTTCTTGTTTTCTTCTTTTTTGATTAGGTCTTGAAGACATTTTTTCTTTTATGAAGAAAAAAAGTTTGTTGTTTGATCGACAAAAACGTACACGTCTAATTATTTATCCTATTGGTTTTTTTTGGTAGGACAGACGCATATTGATTTTTTTTTCTTTTGGAAAAACAATTTATTTTTTGACAGAGTCCAAGGTGACAAAACGTGAGTGTTGTTGTTTGGTTTAGTTTGAGCCCCCTAAAGAAAACGTGTTAATAACTGACCAGAGGTACTTTTTTTTACTTGTAATGATATAATGTGGTGTCTTTATTTTATATAAATATTTTAATTGGAAATCAAAACGCGGAGCAGATCTCACTAGGTAATTACAAGATTTTCATTGATAATATTTTTGCTTTGCGTAATTAATATTAATAATAATATTACATTATTATAATTACAAGATGTCAAGGCAGCACACTGTTGAAAAAGAAACATTTCAAATATGCGATGTTTGATTATTCGGAAATTGGTAGACGTTGAAGCACGCACACTGCCTTGAACACTTTACAGTCCTTCTCACATCTTCCTCGTGTACACAAGGCTAATCTGACTTGCGATGCCCAATGATATGATGATGAAACAAAATTCCAGGGGGGTGTCGCTCTGCCCTGGAGCTGCATCAAGACTGCATTATCGTCAATGACACTTTCACTAATCTTCCCAGATCAGAGATGGCCACTGCCATGTTGGCCGAAAAGTTGTCTACCTCTGGATAAAAATGGCACTGTGACCAACAAGCTTGCAACTCTGGAGGAATATCAAGGGAATCTGCAACTCATTCCAAGCACAGGAGGTCACAATTCAGAGCAGGGTTGGTGGCCCTGAAATTGCATTTGGGCTCTGATGTTAAGAGGAAAGTTGTAAAATAGTGTTTGCTTTGTATGTTTTGTATAAATTGATCATTCCCAAATTTCTGTTTTTCTTTAATTTGTTTTTTGAATGGGGTAGGGTTGTTGGTGAGCAGATGTGCCACCAACAAGACAGCAACTTGGGACTCAAAACTCTGAATCCAAAACAGCAACCCAGGTTGCAACCTCCAGAGTTGGAGAATTTTCAACCAGTTGCAGGTGCCAACTTTTATTCTAGTGTGGCAATAACACACAGCAATCATCATGCTATCAATTATCAGCAATCAATCCCATATCAAAACAGCCAAGCCTGGTCTGAGTGGAAGATAAGGGAAAGTTTTGTCCAAAGCCTTCCAACTTGTGGGGTGCTTCAACTGTGGAGAAAACTTCATGGTACTGAAGCGTGTGAAAGCACCTGACTGCATGTTCGTGACAGGAAAGTTAATTAAATCTGACACCTGTGATCAACATCAGATTTATTATTCATGAGCAACCATAATTGATAATCAGAAAAATAATTTATTTTGTGATCTCCCATTTATTTATTATCATGCACTCCAGAGATCTGGGTAGACAGGCATTATTAAAAGTTTCATTCATGCATGGCCTTGGTATCATTACTACCCGGGTGATGCAATTATTTGTTATGTCAATTACAACATAAAATGTATTGAATAATCAGGTATTCATGTACAAGTATTAATAACAACAAAAAAGCTAAGTCATGTCTATTTTTTATCTATATAAATAGAGTAGAGTAGCAAGCAACAGGTTAATAATCACCA